TTACCTGATAGTCTAGTGAGAAAGGCAAATAAAAGTAAATAGGAAATGACAATATCCTGGGATGAGGGTCACCTGCCATAGGGGTGAGTACGGGGTTCTGTGCAGACAAAGAGTAAGGGGGTGGATCCAGCCTGGAAGACAGAGAAGGCTCAGTTGAGCTGGTGACAGTCACTGAGGAGCCCTGCCAGTGAATGAGGACTAGCCAGTTGAAGCAGAGGGACGCCCTCAGCAGGCGGAGTGGCACATCTGATAGCTAATGCTCGGGTAGTTCATTGTTTTCACTAGATCCTTAATTCTCCAAGATCACTATCAGCTTAGCAATCAAAAGTTCTGCAGTTGTGAGACTCCCTGAAGTAATAATCAGATTGCTAGGTTCAATTAATGATAATAGAAGGGGAAAGGGAATAGGGCCTTTTAAAAATCATCTATCCATGTTGCTGCACGTATATCCAGCCTGTTTCTTCTAACTGCTGCATCATGTTTCATAGTGTGTGCCTACCACATTTAACTTGGTGATTCAGTGATGGACACTTGATTGTCTGCAGCTCCCCACTACCACAGAATGCTGTGCTGAATGTCCTGTGTGTTGCCCTTTATGGACCTGTGTAAGAATTTCTCTGGGATATCTATACTCAGAAGGAGAAGTGCTGGGCTATAGGGTAAGGTACTTTGATTTGACAAAAGTATTATAAGATTAGCTTCCAGAATGGCTGCACCAGTCTCTCCCCTGACAGTGCATGAAGAGTCTCAGAACCCTATGTCCTCACCAACACTTGGCATTTTTCAGCTTTCTAACTTTTGTTAATATGATGAATTTGAAGTGATATCTCATTTTAAGTTGCATTTATCTAATAACTAATGAGCTTGAGGCTATCTCTTAATATACTTTTTGTTTGTTTGCTTTCTCCTCTGGGAATTGACTATAAGTTTGCCTAATTTTTCTCTTGGGTTGCTAAAAACTGAGTTGAGACAAAGTGCTTCTACAGACAGCTACCTGGGAGTCAATATAGAGAAGTGAGAGGCAATATAGCGGATGATAAGAACATGGACTTTGTAGAAAGACTGCCAGGTTTGTTTCCACCTCCACCTCTTACTATTGAATGACTTTGGACAAGTTACTTAACCTCTTAGTGCTTCAGTTTTATGTGTAACCTACCTCATAGGATTGTTGTGAAGATTAAATGTGTTAAAATATATATAGTGTTTAAAATAGCACCTGGCATATAACAAGTATATACAAATGTCAGCTTTCATTATTAGGTTACTGTCTTCCTCTTACTTAGCTATACACTATACCCTTGAGAAAATATTTACTTGTACCAGCAGGCAGTAGAAATAAGGCAGAGAGAAAAAAGCTCTCAGCCTAGAATCAAAGCCTACTGATCCTACTCACACATGTAACTTGCTGTGGTCTTGGGCTCTCTGGACCTGCATTCTCCTGCCTGCCTGTCCCCAGCTCCAGCATGGCTAGCTTTGTCCTGTTGCTGCTCTACTGTGAGCCTGTCAGCTTGGTGGTATCTATCCCCCACAAACTTCACCTTCAATGTTTGCATGGCTCAGTCCTTTTGGTGCGTCAATTCACTCATGGGGAGATAAGAACAGAACAGATTCTGATGGCCACACGAAGGCAAGCACTGTTGCTAGAGCCAAATCACTAAAGGACAAACCCCCATTCTCTTGGGCTACTATCAACATTTTTTGATTTCTCCATTTAGTAAGGGAAATAGTGCATCTGGATATTATCTCTAGCCTTTGAGGTTGATATTGGCATTGGTAGGCATCTTTTCACAGAGCACCAGAGCTGGCTGGAAGAAATTACTCTTAAGCCTTTGCTCAGTGAATACCTGTGGAGTAGTCAGTATAATTCCTTTGAGTGGAGATGTTTTCATGGTGTCCTCTGCCCCTTTAATGTTAAAACTATGACAGTCTAGCTCATACACCATAGCCCATTTGGTACCAGCTACTTAAATTTAAGGCATAGTGCCTAAAATACAAAATGTCAGCCAGTATGCCAGCACCAGAACAGAGGGGAGGCTGCAGTTGTCCTCTGGTGAATCACCTTGAATAGCAGGGCCTGCCTCCCTCTGTGATGTCAGATTCTAATTTTATGGCTAACCCTGTACTCCTCTTCTCATCCAGGTGGGCCAACTCCCCATCTCCCCATGGAATTCACCTTCTCCCAAAAGCAATTCTAAATTTGGGGATTTGTTTCTACTTCAGCAAAAAATGTCAGAGGCAGAAATCACTTCATTTCCAGTCTCCTCACTACTGCTCCAGGTTACTGCTTCGTTTGCCTTGCCCTGTGGTACCAGTGTATTCCTTGGTTTCTCGTTCCTTACTTTGTTTGTGGTTTACTATTTTTGCCTGTTTCCAGTCCTTGCCATCTGACTTGGCTTCTGACTCTCAGATTCACATCTCTGCTGCCTGGTTTTTGTCCCCGTGGTTCTATTTTGACTATGAAATTCTTGGCGCTTCTAGCCTTGCCTTAGCTTTCTCTCACCTGGCTAGTTTCCTACTCTGTTTCTGCCCTGTTGCAGCCCACAGGTCCATGAAGTTCTTTTGGTCACCAAAACTCATCATAGTCATGTAGCCCTCCAGCCTGATCTGGTCTGGCTTCTCCAAGAATGGCCTGATCCCTGTGGAGCTCTGGGTTGGATGTACGTGATGGCTGTTAAATGAAAAGCCTACTAGCCATCTGGCAAGGTGTTTGGTGCCGCTCTTGGCCACTGAGCAGCCACGGTTCCATTAATCCTTGCTCTATCCCACAGTGGGTCTGCTGTCTTTTGAGTTTTATTAAAAGTGAAGGGAATCTTCTCTGAGGTTGCAGAATGAGTTACTAGCTTAGATGCTTACCCTCTTTGGCCTTCAAGTTTGTGAAGTGAATTGCCCATTCCCTTTGATTGTATTAGCAGCCCCAGGGCTGAGTCTAGTCACTCTCCTCTCCCCATCCTGCCAGACCACTGTCTGCCCTCTGGGGCCAAGGACAGCATACTTGGTTGCTTGGACACGTCTTACAGCCTGCAAATTGGACAGATAGAATCAATACTCATGAACCTGAAGAGGCCCAGGTAGCACAGTTAGTGACACTAGCTGCCTGGAGGGACAGCCTGCCATGGAAGGGGGTGTGATTGAACAATGATTGGATACAACAGCTGAGGATTAACCAAATTATGTCCCTTTGAGTTTAGATCGACAAACCCTTCTGTCTTAGATTTTAAAGCAAGCTAACTTGTGCAGAATATAGAAGAGCTGCCTTCTTAATATAGGGCTATATCAGCATGAATCCTGGGGCTGGTCAAGTACAAATCTGGTGTGTACTTTGGCCCAGACTCAAGTTATTACCACTAGGATTATATGAACAAAGGGATGAGAGCTCATATTTGTGCAACTCCTTCTATGTGCTAGGCATCATGGAGTTTTACATACTTATCTCAACCTACAAGGGAGGCATCATTATCCCCATTATTCTGGTAAGGAAATGGGGTCTTCAGAGGTGTACTAAGTTGTCCAAAACCATAGTCAGTAAATGATAGAGCTTTGATTTGAACCCAAGTCTCTGTATGCTTATTATAAAATGGCATACTGTCTTCCCAATTTAAGTATCTTAGTTCATACTTCTCTTGATTTCCCCACAGCCTAACCACAGGGCCAGGTACATAGAAGTAATAACTAACATTTGTTGAGCACTTATTATATGTCAGTCCCTATTCTAAGCACTTTACGTAGATTAACACAGCCATGTGAACTAGATATTCTTGTTATCCCTGATAAAATGGCATTGCAAAATGATGATTTTCTAATTTCACCCTTCCGTCAACATTTATTACTTTCTACAGTAAGGAAGAGTTTTCCCTTCTCCCCCTTTGACTTATTATTTTCAATATGGACTCCTGAAATCTTATTTTACTCAGTGGGTTGTAATCCATTGCTGTCATTATTCATGTTGTTGCTTAGATTGCCCCAGATTTTAAAGCCAATGTTCTTAAACTCTGTACCACACTACCTCTTTATCAGATATTATTTCTCACTGCCTTCAGTTAGTTTACCTATCTGTAACAACCCTTTTGTACCCTCTTGGCTTTTAATCTTCTGGGAAACAGGAAGACTAATGCCAATCCTATCCAAATTGTGTGTAAACTAAGAGTAAATAGTCTCCATGTGAGAACCTGGCAGATTTTGCTATGAATTAAATATATGAGTTTTAGACATGGATTTTAGCTGCTTTAAAGACCCTTTTCATTTCTCTTTGGGATCTTAATCCATATCCTGAATAAATTACCTGTGACAGTTGCCCACCAGGAGATCCTTTTAGGTATGGTAAGTAGACATAGGAGACTCACCTGACCATGTTAGATCAGATGTGAAAGAACTCAGCTACGTGGGAGATGGATTCTGGTTCTCTACTTACTTCCGAGGACTGTGTTTGAATTACTGAAATTCATTCATCCATTCAGCAAATAAGTGAGCCAGCATTAGCCTAGCACCTGGAACATTGACTAGAACAGCAGTGGGCAAACTACGGCCCGCGGGCCGAATCCGGCCGGTTTGAAATGAATAAAACTATTGAAAAAAAAGACCATACCCTTTTATGTAATGATGTTTACTTTGAATTTATATTAGTTCACACAAACACTCCATCCATGCTTTTGTTCCGGCCCTCCGGTCCAGTTTAAGAACGCATTGTGGCCCTCGAGTCAAAAAGTTTGCCCACCCCTGGACTAGAACATAGCATTGGATAAGTAATGTTGAATAAACACTTTGTCTTTTATAGTTGTGGAAACTGAGCCTTAGAGAGGTGTTAAATAACTTGTCCAGAGCCTCTCAGCTAGTAAGTTTCAGGGCCAACTTTTCTAATTCTGCCTTTGACACTTGCAGAGTTAATGTTCTTTCCACTGTGTCATTCATGAGTAAAGGCAAAATCTAATCCTCAAACATGCTTCAGAATCATACTTCCTGGGTCTTTCCTGCTTTTGACACTGTGTCTTTCTGATTTCTTCCAGTGTGGTGCAGGTCCTGCTTGCTGCTGGTGCTGACCCAAACCTTGGAGACAATTTCAGCAGTGTTTACAAGACTGCCAAGGAGCAGGGAATCCATTCTTTGGAAGGTAAGGGCGGGCTACTCTGCTGTTCTGAGCATTCTCCTCCCTGTGGCTTCCAAGCAACCTTGCTCTGTGCCAGCTCTACCAGCAACTCAGAGAGGGCCTGCAAGTCCCTTATCCTCTGGAAACTCATGGAGAACCCAAAAATCTTGGAACAGATGGCTATCACAGCCCCTTTGGGCTCTATCATTTATGTCACTTAAGAAGTCTTAGGGAATAAATTAGAGGCCTGACTTCATGAATGAGTGTGAGGGGAACCTTCCACTGCTGTTTTCCCAAAAGCACCTCAGCCTGTGGAACCTCAGATGAGAGGACAGTGGAGCAGTTTTCCATAAAATAATTAAGGCAACTGCATGGAATGTGGATTTGTTCCTCCTCTATTTCCTGTAAACTTTCCCTCTCCCAGAACTAGAAAGCAGCCTTACTTGTTTCCTCAGCCTCAGAAATCCTTCAATACTACTGTGAATACTGCTTTTTTTCCTTCTCCTGTATGTAAAATACAATCCCCCAGAGGGCAGTGGCCCCTCAACTTACTGTGTGACCCAGGACAAATAGTGGACCTTCTCTGTGCCTCGATGCCTATGCTTATAGAATGGGGTAGTCATCGGTGTCTGCCTGGAGTGTTGTGTAGGTGGTTGTTTGGACTTCTTCAGAAGAAAGCAGCAGTGTGTACCTGTACCAGGGCTTGGTCATGTGTCTATTGGAGGGGACCTGGGCAAGTCAGTCTGTGTTGTCTCTGGTGAGTAGTTCTTCCAAAGTGGGGTCGAGAAAATGGCAGGTTGCTTTGGCTGCAGTCAGAAATGAATATTTTACATTTGAGTTTTTGCTTATCTAGACTGTCCCCCCACTTCCTGGCCATTACCCTGGACCACTCGCAGAGGCTGAAATTCCTCTCAGTTTCTAGCAACAGGGCAGCTGAGCAAGTGGCTGCTTTAAGGTTGGCAGTGATGCCAGGAGGACAGATATCCATGCTGACTGCCTAAGGATCAGAACATTGACCTGGAGGGAGGTTCTGCCAATGGGAGCAAGAGATGTCAGAGCTGATGTGGGTGTTCCTCAAATTGGCAGCATGAGGGGAATGTCAAGAGCATCAGAGCATTGCTGCCCAGATGAAGTGTGAAGTCGCCCTTCCCCGCCTCTTCACCTCTGCAATGCCACTACTTCTGTCAAACTCCATTCTGCAGCTAGTTCCTTCACAGAGCCTTTCCTGTCCTTGACAATAATTGCAACCTGCTCTCAGCTGCTCTTTTGAATATTCTTTAAATCTTGGCCTTTTGTATGGTTTTTGAACTCTCATCTGCCCATGTATTTTCTTTCCTCCTCAGCTGACAGTTCCATGTGTAGACCGTGACCTATGCCTCTTTGGAATCCCCACTGAACTGGAGGAATTATCTTCACTTTATGTTTCAAGCAGAGGAGAATTTCATGAGTGCCAAATTTGCCCTAAGTTGCAGTTTGATATGAGGGACTCCACTTATGGGCTGTCTTCTTCTCACTCAGACACAGCTTTGCTGCCTGCTTTAGCTCTGTCTTCTGTTCAGATGCTCTTACCAAAAAGCAAGAAGGAGCATTTGCTGAGAGGGAGGGCCAGGAAGAAGGGAAGGGATTATTTGAGTGCCTTCTCACATGTTCTCAGGATCCTAGCAGAGCTCAGTAAGCATTTTTTATTTCATAGAATATCAGAGCTGTGAAGCCATCTATTCCAACTTCTGCTGTTGTATGATCTCCACCCTCTGTCTTTGTTTTGTACCTTTGTGCTTTATAGTTCTGTCCTGGTTGGTACTACAATCAATATTGTAGATCAATGGTCAGCAAACTTTTTCTGCAAAAAGCCAGATAGTAAACATTTTAAGCTTTGTGAGCTCTTCATTGTGGTGCGGATGCAGCCATAGACAATGCACAATTGAATATGCATAGGTATGTTCCAATAAAACTTTATTTACAAAAATAGGCAACAGGCTGGATTTGCCCCATAGGCTGTAGTATGCCTGTTCTAGGTATTTTCTCCTTCCTTCCTCTTTTCCTCCATCCCCTTCTTCCCCCCTTTCCCTCTTTCTATTTGAATCAAAGACTAGTATATAAAATACATGATGGCAGGGATCCTGTTTAATTCAATAGTGCCTAGAACAATGCTTACTTCTTTTCCTCCCTCCTCCCTCTTTTCTTTTTTTTTTTTTTTTTTTTTTTTTTTGTCAACCTCCTGTACCTTTTCAGCTCTTATATGTTAGCTAGCCTACATTCTAGGTAGGTAGGTAGGTAGGTAGGTAGATAGATAGATAGATAGATAGATAGATAGACAGACAACAAAAATATTGGGAAAGGCTATTATAAATATCATGAAATAAAGCTAAAAAATTTAAGTATCTTAGCTTATTTTGTATGACCTACAAAATTAGTGAATAGGCTTCCTTTAAAAAAAATTTTTTTAATACTCACTCAAGGATATGTTTTTATTTATTTCATTGAGAGAGGGAGAGACAGACACACATCAATTGGTTGCCTCCTGTAAACTCCCTGACACTATGTGTCCTGACTGGGGATCAAACCCACATTCTAGGTATGTGTCCTGACCGGTAATCAAACCCACAACGTTTTTGGTGTATGGGATGATGATCCAATCAACTGAGCCACCTGGCCAGAGCCTAGTGAATAGGCTTTCTATGGACTTATTTATTCATTCAAAAATAGTTTAAATTTTTTTAAAAATATGTTTTTATTGATTTTAAAGAGAGGAAGGAAGAGAAAGAGAGATATAGAAACATCTATCAGCTGCCTCCTGCATACTCCCCGCCAGGGATCAAGCTCACAACCTGTGCATTTGCCCTGACGGAATGAACCAGTGACCCCTTGGTGTGTGGATGACACTCAGTCCACTGAAAATTTTTTATTAATTACATGTCTATCTAGCAGTCACTGTTTTAGGCACTTGAGTTAGGATTCCTGCCATCATGTACTTTACATGCTAGTCTTTGATTAAAATGTTTATAAGGACTATATTCAAGTATAGAACCCTAGAGCACTTGGTTAGGACAAATTTGAAGCATCATTTGACATTCACAACTATAAATCTTCCAAACTTTATTTTTTTCTAGCTTCATTTCTGTATCATGTCCACAAAAATTTAAAGAGATTTTCTCAGATTTCTTGCTAAAATAAAAATATGTTTGGCAATTGTCATATTTCTTGCCCAGGAACCCTTTCTCAGGAGGATGTTAGGTAATTCTGGCAATGTCTGGTCTCCTCCTTAGGGAACCCATACTGGTACTTAAGTGTTTAAGAACTGTTTTAAAAAAAAAAAAATACACTCTAGAAATTTTGTCAGGAATCATTGATAAACTCATTGTTCTGTAGCTTACAAGATTGACCCCTCTGTGCACTTTTTAAAAAAATTCCAGACTACCCTTGCCTACCACAGTTTTCTGGCCGCGCAGCTGATTTTCCCTGGCATGTCAGTTTGGATGTGTTCTGCTATCCAAATTCATGGACTCTATGGAGTGATAGTCCTTTCAAATCATCTCAGGGCCTTTAGTTCCTTCTTAGCCATATTTTCCTCTCCTTTTTCCATTTATAGATATTTCATTCTTTCATCCATTTAACCAGTATTTATTGGTTGCCTACTGTATGCAAGCACTATACCCAGCTTTTGGTCATTCTCTTTGATGAAATAGACAGAAACAAATGAATCCTCCTGTTCTCTTTTCTTCAGATGGGACTGACCTTTTCACAGGCAGTTACCTGACTTATGGGAATGTGGAAGAGGGTAGAGTAGAACAAGAGGTGCAAGCCCCTTGCCCAGAGTGTGTCTAGGCAAATTCACAGGAAGGTCACATGCTCAAGAAAGATGGACAGTCCTTCACTATTGGAGCATAGAGACAGTAACAGAGTCCATCAAATTTCTAAATGATATTTCTGTGGGCCTCAACCTGTGCTCAGTGCTAAAAGGAGGTGGTTAAGTTGTAATTTGTGACCTTGGCAAGACCTCCCTAAAACCCAATAATATATCCCTTGTCTATCATATCATATTGTGCAGATCAAGAGATAAATATGTGATGTGTGAATTGTAAAGTGTTTTACAGTTGTAATTGCTTATTAGTTTTATTTATTTATAATCCAGCATGCATTTACTGAGTATCAGGCACTCTGCCAAATGCTGGGAATACGAAAATGAATTTACATGGTCTAGCCCCTCAGTAGTGCTCGCAGTCAAGTAAGACAGACATAAACAAGGCACCACAGTGCAGAGTGGTAAATGCAAAGGTAGATGTACACAGGATGTAGGTAGCGCTGATATAGGTAGAGATAAGTTCTACCTCACAGCAGGCTGGTGTCTGGGAAGTGTCACAGGGTAAGTGACTTTGAATTGGCCTTAAGGATGAGTCGGAAGTTGCCAGGCAGACTAAGAGGGATGAACCTGCGAGGCAGAAGGAGCAACATATGCAGAGACATGGGATGGGTGAGTGACACAGGTAGACTCCTCTGTCACATTGCTGAGAAGAATAGCAAGAAGTAAGAGTGGAGAGGAAATTGGGGTTCCACATGGAAAGGATTTTGTAAGGCAGTTCTAAGAAGCTCATACTGTTTTCTGCCATCAAAGGATTTTAAGCAGGTTATGCTCAGTTTACATTTGCATTTTAGATGGGCCATCCTGACTAGATGGGTGATGAATTGGAGGAGAGAGATTAGCAGTGACTCTTGACCTTTATGGGATGATGAACCCCTTTGAGAATTGGATGAGATGCTAAGCTCCTCTCCCCCAAAATGCACCTATCATTTCTGGGGATTTTCTAAAAGTGATCTTTGGGAATGGAAAAATAGATTTTAGAAAAATATTAGGAGGAGCTTGAGTTCTCGGTAGAATGTGGGAATTGATGGAAAAGGAAGCCTCCATGGTGACACCTCAACTTCTGATTTGGGTAAATAGTTGGATGTATGGATCTGGAGTTTAGAGAAGTCTGGCAGAAGATAGGGATTTAGGAGTCACCAGCATTTGCTGGAGAGTTAAAACAATAGATGTGATTGAAACTGCCCAAGGAAAGAAGTCTGTCACTCAGGGGACCAGCATTTAAGGTGTGAAGAGGAAATATATTTGGTCCCCAGATAAGGGTACCAAAGGGCATTGGAGAAGTTGTCTTATATTCTCTCAAAGAGGCTCTATATCTGTTCTGCCTGTTCAGAATAGGTATAGCCTGGAGAGAAAAGAAACTTGTGCCCTCTTTGCTGAGACTTTGTAACTGATTGCCCCATTCCTTGTGAAATGCTTCTGTTTTACATATGGCCATTGCTCTTTAATAAGGAGCCTGCTCAGCTAGGCACATCACAGTATCTTCCACCCTGTCAGTGTTCATATTTCTGGGTAGGTTTGCTGGTCTAGGCAATGCAGAACTGTTTGGCATAGAAATCTTGTTGGCCTGGCTGTTTTGTTCCTTTCTCCAGCCCTTAAAGTGGCATATTCAGAGGCACAATGGTGTTCTGGAGAAAGGTTGGGCTTTGGTGCCAGGCAGTCATCTAAGCTGTCCCTAGCTATGTGATCTTCAGCGAGAGAATTTCAGTTTTCTCATTTGTATCATAGGGATAACAATACCTATGTTGTAGGGTTGTTAGGATGACTAGAAATAATCACATATAAAGCATAGCGACCTTTAATGAAGAATTTCTTGATGGAGGTAGGTTTTGGCTCAGTGTACTGCAGGCTCAGTACCTGCCTTAGAGGTACTGAGCAGCTCACCACTCAAGGGGGCACTGACAGAGGCTAGATGTCTATACATCAGGGATTCTGTACAGCAGCGGTTCTCAACCTGTGGGTCGTGACCCCTTTGGTGGTCGAACGACCCTTTCACAGGGGTCGCCTAAGACCATCCTGCATATCAGATATTTACATTATGATTCATAAGAGTAGCAAAATTACAGTTATGAAGTAGAAACGAAAATTTTATGGTTGGGTCACAACATGAGGAACTATATTTAAAGGGCCAGAAGGTTGAGAACCACTGCTTGTAGAGGGTATTCTTGTCCTGAAACATTGGGTTATATGGCCTCCAAGGTCCATGTCAGCCATGTGACTTTAGGATTTTAGAAACTGTAGGCTCACCTTCAGAGCAAGTAATGTACTTAAAAGTAGTGGGATTTGACCTGAGCTTTGGAAGGTGATGAGGAGGGGAAAAAAGAAGATTCTAAGCAGGTGACACAGCTTGAGCAAAGGCACACAGAGAGGACACGTGGAGGGGAGCATGGAGATCACAGCTGCTGCTTTACCAACTCATTCCTTGATCTTGGCCTCAAACCACTCAGTGCCTGAGCCCCACGCATGCCCACTTCAGGAGAGTTCCACTTGTGGCTGGCTGATGGGTGGTGGACCGCAATCCTCAGGTAGACAAGGCAGTAAATTAGTGGTAACAGAAAACAAGTCGCCCAGCCAGGGATGCCGCTGGCTGCTTGTAAGTAACTGTTATAAACATTGGATGTCTGGGGCTGTCAGAAATGCAAGCGAGCACTCTGAGTGCCTCTCATATGTACAATTAAAACAATAAAACACGGCAGAAACGTGGCCAGAGCAGACTATAAATCAGATTCTCTTCTCAGCTTCAAGTGGCAGCTGAATAAAGATGAGTTGTACAGAAACTGGGTTGGCATAGGGCCCTTCTGGGCTAGAGGGCCTGGCTTTCCAGGCTGGACCTGCCATAATCATCCCTATCAGCCCAAGTGGCCTCCTTCCCACAGCTCCAGGGGCTGGAGGTCCTCACCTGCTGTGGCTGACCTCCCATCTCTGTGTCTTTAGATGGGGGACAGGACGGTGCAAGCTGGAGCATCACAAACCAGTGGACAGGTGCCCTGGAATTCAGGAGTTGGCTAAGAGTCCCCACTGGCGGTAATGGAACTGCTCTCTAATATTTCTTCCCCTCTCAGAACATGCCAAGGAGTGGTCTCATTCTAGCTCATCTATTTAGTATTAAGTTAACCACCTAGCACCCACTGCATGCCCAGCCTACTCAGTCACAGTAGAGAAAATGTACACCCTGGGAGAGTACAAACTCAGATGGGAGTAATACGGCTTCCAAGAAAATAAGAGTCATCTAGAGAGCTTGTTAAAAGAGATTCCTGGGCCCAACGCCCAGAAATTCTGATTTAGTAGGTCTGGGGTGGGACCTGAGGTTTTGCATTTCTAACAAGTCCCCACTCTTTGAGTAGTGTGAGCTAGGCTATAGATGTTAATTGTGGCCTTGTGCTTGAAAAGCTTTAAAAACTCATCTGTACCTTCTCTTCCCTGGAAGAGACCTTATTTTGCCACTTAAGCTTTACTCCTAGAGAGGCTCTATGCTTATGCCTTGTATTATGGGTGTATAGAACACAATAGCTGCGAACCTGGAGCAATTTTGTGTACCTCTCAGAGACTCTGTCCCCTTATTTGTAAAATAAAGGTTGTTGGGAAAGTTAGAGATAATATATTTATGCCTAGCCTAAAACCAGAGCATAGAAGGAATCATTGTAAATTTCTGTTTTTACATCATCATCATTATCCTTATCATACACTCATGGAACTTCATGAGAACTTCAGAGTCTTTGGCACAGCCTTCCAAATGCTTTTCAGTGGTAACAACCTATTATTCAGAAAGAGGCCAACATTATTTAGAGTCCAAGGAATGGCTGTTCATCGCCTGACTGTGTGACCTTGGGTAATTCTCTTTATCCATCTGAACCTTGATTATCTCATCTGTAGAGAATATTTCCTATACCACAGGTTTATTGTAAAGATCAAATTGAAGTACTTATGAAAGAATTTGAGAAAATACAAGGTATTATGCAAATGTAAGGTGCTAGCAAGAACAGTGATTAACAATAATTAAGATTAATGACATGACCGAGACATTATTCAGCAAGGATTCAGTCAGAGGTACAGATAACAAGAACGACTAGAATTTAGAGAAGACAATCTCTGGCTGAAGCAGTCAAGAAAATAAAATGGTATTTGAGTCTTGAAGTATAAGAAGGTTTTATGGAGGGCCTGCAGGTGGGTGCAGTTGGGTGTGACCAGAGAAGAGGTGTGGATGTCCAAAACATTCAAAGGCAGGAAACAGAAAAATTGTTTCAGGCCAGCAAGTGAACTTGTTAGGGTGAAGCATCCACACAGCAAAAGATTCATTTTAGGGAGTAAGGAGCAGTTAGTAAACTGGGACCAGATCAAATGCTTAGACTTTGTGTCCTTCAGATAGAAAGAGCCTCGGAGGTCCTATAGGATAGGGCACCATGGGCACTGATTCCTTCCAGGGTGGAGAATTGGGGAGGTGATCGTACAGTGACGCTGATGGTGATAGCTTTAGCAGCAACAGCAACATTTAGTAAGACCAAGTGCTACAACCCTATGATGTAGGCGCCAAAGGACACTGAGGCCCAGAGATAATGTCAAACATCAGCAGAACTGTCTCCTGCTCTTGTCTCCAGCAACCATATCAGTCTGTTCTCCCCCCACCACCACCCCCCCGCCGCCCCACCCACCCCCCCCTATTCGTAGTCAACTCCGGCTTGTCCAAAGCTTGGGTATCTGCCAGGCCAAAAGCTGTTTGGGCAAGTTATTATTTTTTATAATGTCCCTGACTCTTCCTCATCATTGTCATAGCCTTGTTGCACCTCCAGGGCCATGGTTCTACATGTCATTTCTCAGCAGTGCTGTCCACTAGAGAGTCACCAAGATGAACACTGTCAATCCATCAGGCCTTTTGGCCAACTACAAGATTAAGTGTATCAGTGAGTAGGTTAATTGTGTTCATCCTTCTAGCCCTCCAAACCTGTATATTTGACTAGGAGAGGGAAATAGACTAGTTGACATGTTTTATTAAAAAGAATAAATTTGATGCATTTATAAAAATAAGAAAACGTGGGATGGGGTAGCAAAGAACTAGTCTTGTGATTTTTAACTGATTTACATATTTTGTGTATAAATATTTTTTCATCAAAAGTTCCAAATCAAGGATGGGTCCCACATACCACACAAAATATATTAGAGACATTTATATGGATAGCAGGAAGGGAGACAGAGGGCTGAAATTTTCCAGGCACCCAATGATTGATGGGGGCTGAGGCTCCCCCTGACGCTTTATTGAGTTTCCGATGATTATCTCTCGCTGAGACATTTTTTACAGATGACGGTCGAGCTGTCACAATGGACCATGGGGGAAAAAAACCCAACAATAATAACACTTTAATCTTTTTACTGCACTGCTCCCTAGTATCTCAGATTCATCTTCCCTGACGCACGCAGTTCATTATTCTGCCCCTCCCTGGATGGGAAATAAAGGGAAATAAATATATATGTACACACACTTACCACATACATACACACACACACACACACACACACACTCACACACACAGAGTGTATAAAAGAGACCACCTCAGAACCAGAGAGGGACAGAATTTATTGTTCTTTTTGCAAGTGTTGAGGTTTATTAGTAAAGATGCTGGGTTGGCTTGGAATTGGCTATTAATTACAGCATTTTGTATTTGTTTTTTATTGTAAGTTTTTAACATCTTGAAGAAAAGGCAGAAGGAGAGGTAAGCAGGTGTAGAGAAGGAAGCGCAGAGGGACCTAGTTTGGCCAACCAAGTAACAGAGCTGGCTGAGAGGCAAAGAGAGCAGGCTCCTTTCTCTTGTTGCCAGCCCTGCCTAGAGGATCCCTGGAGTGGAAATAATACTGCTTTGGATGGGGGGGGGGGGGGGGGGGTGTTCTGGAGCAGGGATAGTGAGGAGAATGTGAGCTTAGAGTAATTATAGGACATATCAAAGGCAATTCTAGCATGTTACCTCTCTGTTAGGAGAGATGGGAAGTAGAAGAGGTTCAAATGGGGTGTTGATGGGTCTATAGTTAATGGAGTAACACTTTGCCTTATCTTTGGATTTTTAAAAATGTAGTCAGAATGGTATAAAAGAATTCCCATGTACTATCATTCCCTTTAACAATTAGCACATGGCCAATGTTGTTTCCGCTATACTCCCCATCCACTTCTCCCCACCTCCCATATATATGTGTGTGTGAGTGTGTTTGCTTGTTTTTGTTTTTGTTTTTTTCAAGAGGAAGGGGGAGAGAGATAGAAACATCAATGATGAGAGAATCATTGATCGGCTGCCTCCCACACGCCCCTTACTGGGGGTTGAGCCTGCAACCCAGGCGTGTGCCCTGACCAGGAATCAAACTGTGACCTCCTGGTTAATAGGGCCATGCTCAACCACTGAACCACACTGGCCCGGCTATATATATTGTTAATCCTCACTTGAGGATATTGCTTTTCATTAATTTTTAGAGAGAGTAGAAGGGAGGGGAGGGAGGGAGGGAAGGAGGGAGGGAGGGAGGGAGGGAGGGAGGGAGGGAGGGAGGAGAGAGAGAGAGGGAGAGAAACATTGATGTGAGAGAGACACATTGATCAGTTACCTCTCGTACACAACCCCAGGGATCAAACCTACTACCTGTGTATGTGCCCAGACTGGGAATAAAACCCACAACTTTTCTGAGCCACACTGGCCAGGGCATATTTTTACTATCTCTGAGACATATCAATAGCAATAATAGAATCTGATTTAGATACTGATTCAAACAAACTATAAAATTGCAATTTTAAGACAATTCGAAATTTGAACATCTTTGAATTTGATGGTGTGAAGGTGAAACGTGGGTTCTGGAAAGCTCCACCTACGTCTGTGGTCAAAAGAGGGTTCTGGGTCCGTGAGGATGCCAGGACCACAGACAGGGTCAACAGCCTATCCGTTAAAATTCTAGGTCAGTCTTCTGCTCTCCTCCTTCCCTTTTATGAGAATGAGAGAAGACAGGCTTGGGGTTCTTATGGAAAAGCTGTACTTGTATCTCCGCTGGAGTAAGTGTTGAGCCAGTCTTCTCTTCAACTCATCAAATCTTTGAGCTCCTACTATGCCACCTCATTATTACCTTATCATAGTGTGCCACCTCCCATGCTACATTATGATAAGGTAATAATGAGGTGAGCAGGGTCCTCTTCTTAAGGAGAAACCTTCCAGTCCATTGGCAAGAGAGCATGGTGTCTGTAAGAACCATTTTCAAGCAAGGTCTGGTCTTCCAGCCATAGGCCAGCCTAGTTGACCACAAGTGCCTTCTCTGTATGAAGGATAAGGAGATCTGTAAGACACAGTATCTATCCTTCCAGAACCTGTTTTCTGCTTGGGGAGACAGCTTAATAACCATTCACTAAAGTATTTATTGAACACCTGCCATGTTCAAGAGTATACACATGAAGCAATCTGAGAACACTTAAGACTATGTAAAAGAAAATGTTAACTAATTTGATGTAGACTATACATTACCTGGATGTATACAGAAGAGGGAGATCAGTAAAAGTCAGGCTGCTTGAATTGTAAAGGATGGGTAAAACATAGATAAATAAAAGGAAGGAATAGTGAAACTGTATAGAAAAAAGAGTACAAGCCTTGGGTTGAACAGACCAGCTCTGTCATTAACTACTGATGTGACGTGAGACAAGCTGCATAACCTCTCCAAGTCCTGGTTTCTTCATTAATAGGAATAATGACATGTATGGTTCTTGTGAGGAAAATAGTTGTGAAGTTCCTAGCACAATACCTGTCACATAATAAGTGTTCAATAAATTCAGGCCATATGGGTATTGGAGGAAGACTCTTAGTCCTTGGGCTATTAGCCTTCAGGACTCACCTGTGACCTCTGCTGAGTATGAAATGTGCTTCCTGCAGTGAGCCTGCCATATTCTACAGTGTTAGTGTTAGTGGTGATTCTGGCCAGAGTTAGAGTGGCATCAGGAAGAGGGAAGGGCACAATAATAAATGTATTACCATTTATTGAATCCTTACTACATGCCAAGTAATTTTCTGAGT